AGAGAGAAACATCAATGATGAGAGAGAATCATTGATCGGCTGCCTCCTGCACGGAGCCCGCAACCCGGCCATGTGCCCTGACAGGGGATTGAACCGTGACCTCCTAGGTTCATAGGTCAGTCACTGAGCTACACCGGCTGGGCCGGGTGCCCGTCTTCAGGAGCTGACTGTCTATTTGGGGTGACCAGGTGTAGGCTCAGGAACTAGTTAGTGGCCCGGTTCCGAAGTGCAGGTGGAGGGCGGGAGGGAACAGAGTTTGTCCCAGGGAGACCCCTGCACCTGCCACCCCGCCCTGTCTTTCCCACCCTTTCAGCCCAGTCCCCCCCCTCCCCTCCCTCCAGCCCCTCTGCCCGGTCTAACCTTGTCTGCATGTTTTTGTGACTAATACTTGGACCCTTCCCTTTTCCACCCAGACCCCCACTTCCCAGCCTCGGGTGGGATGGAGGGAAGAAGAAATAAACAATAATGACCAGCGCTCCCCTCCAAACAAGACCCAAAATCTTTCACACCTCCCCTCCCACAAAGATACCCCTTATCGTCTGCCCTTGAACCTAGTTCCTCCAGCACAAGATTTGATGGTTCCCAGGAGGGTGCCCCTGTGCCCTGGTTTTGCTCAGCCCCCCCCACACTGGAGGGCTCCAGCTCAGCAGGAGGGGTCCGGGGGTCCTGTGGGGTAGTTCCCCTTGCTCCCTTCTGCTCATGTCCCTTAGGAGTTCCTAACACCACGCCTGCCCCACGACCATGGACTCTGGAGACCAGTCCCTGGAAGGTGGCTGGTGGCCTGTGCAGGTGGACTGGTGCAGGTGGGACCGGAAGGCCCCAATCTCCAGACTTTGCTGGAAAAGGGGGTGCTGAAGCACTTTAGGGGAGTGGGAAGTGGGGTGACTGCCCGCATTTCCCAGCTGACAGTCCTAAACCACAGCCTTCCTGGAGTGGGGGACGGGGGTGGGGGGGTCTCGTGGTCCCACAGACCTCGACTCTGCCCTACGGACTTTCCAGGGGCCAAGTTCGACATTGGCCTGGGGAGGGGGTCGTCTGAGAGTTCCCTGCATTGCCACCCCCCCAAGGTCACTGCCTTCCCCGGCCACGGCTGCCCCTTCTCACCTCCTTGGAGCACCAGGCGCTCCCCATCCTTGAGTTTCTGCCTGACTTTCCAGCCCACGGCCAAGGTATCCTGAGGTTAGCCCTGTCCCCCTCTGCTCTCTAACCCGGCCCGGCTCCCTAGAGTGTGATGGTGGCATCAGTGGGGAAGGCGAAGAGAGAAAGGCAGGCTGATGAGTAGGTGCAGTACCACCCTCTCCTTGGGAGACAGGGTGACCCGAGTAGAGGGATCTGGGCGTAAAGAGACTCAGGAAAGGGGCGTAGTGGGCATCGGCCCTGAAGGATGCTCTGCCCCCTCCTTCTCCCCACCCCCCGAGGCTCCAAGGCTCCAGGAATATCTCCTAGTTCCTCACGCCCTTGCTCGCTGCCACCGCCCTACTGGCTGGGGCTGGAAGACCCCTCAGCGCCCTGAGGGGGAGCTGCAGGGGAGTTGGAGCCACCAAGAAGGTGCGGGGGACTGGGTCCCTGCCAATCGCATGCAGGTCTAGAGAGCACCTTCAGGAGGAGGGGCATGAGGGTGCCCTTCACATCCCCCATCCTGGGGCCCTGACCTGGGGTTCCCACTTCCATTCGGAGCCACTTCCAGGAACTGGTTCTGGGGGAGCGCTCCGTTACCCTCAGGCCTCTGCCTGCTGAGCTGGGCGTGGGGCAGGCCTGAGCCCACCCTGAGACCATCCAATCTTGTGCTGCCTCCTTCTCCCCCTCTCCCCGCTCCCCCCACTGTTCCTCCTCCGAGACAAGCAGACATAAAAATGGGGGGTCCGGCCCCCTCCCCCATGCCCCCTGGCCCCTCGCTTGCCCAGCCCTCGACTCTCCCCAGGGAGTTGATGCCGGTTGTCTCCTTGTCTCTCCCCCTCCCGCCCTGGGCTGGGCAGGTGACCATATCGGTGGACGGGATCCTGACCACCACAGGCTACACGCAGGAGGACTACACCATGCTGGGCTCCGACGACTTCTTCTACATCGGGGGCAGCCCCAACACCGCGGACCTGCCGGGCTCGCCCGTCAGCAACAACTTCATGGGCTGCCTCAAGGACGTGAGTAGGGCCGGGGGAGGGCTGCGCGGCCCCGAACGCTCGCCGCCTCAGCGTGATGTGGTCTGCACGGGCCAGCCGCCAGGCCTCTGTGCTTCTGGTCTTTTTCAAAACCTGAGGCCATTGGCTCCGTCCAGAGGCTTCTCTCTCACGGCCTTGGCCTCGGAAGCCCCGGCCTCTCAGGGGACCCTCGAGGCAGCTGCTGGATGTGAAGACTCAGCCCCTGTGGCTGGGTCCCAGCTCTTCTGCTCTCTGCTCTGTGACCGTGGCCAAGTCCCCTGACCTGGCCTACTCTTCGTTTGCTCATTTGTAAAACGAGCACCTACTCCTTAAGGGGGGTGTGAGGAGCAGAGGGGAGTGCAGACGAAAAGGCTTGGAGAACTGGGAAATGTCAACCAGGTGTGGCCCTGACTGGCTGTTGTGACGAACGGGCGTCATTGTAGAGCTGGGCAGGAAGGCAGGACCGAGAGTCGGGGGCAGGGGAGTGGCTTGTTCACAGCCTCTGTGTGTGGTTCTAGAACAAAGGCCACGCCAGTGGTCTGGTGGAGCGGAGCAGGGCCCCCAGGGCTGGGTGGCGGGGCCCACGGTGCTGGGCAGGAGGGCCAGGCCCCAGCGGCTCCCTGTCTCCTTCCCTGCCCCTCCCTGCAGGTGGTCTACAAGAATAATGACTTCAAGCTGGAGCTGTCCCGCCTGGCAAAGGAAGGGGACCCCAAGATGAAGCTACAGGGGGACCTGTCATTTCGCTGTGAAGATGTGGCTGCCCTGGACCCCGTGACCTTTGAGAGTCCCGAGGCCTTCGTGGCGCTGCCCCGCTGGAGCGCCAAACGCACTGGCTCCATCTCCCTAGACTTCCGCACCACGGAGCCCAATGGGCTGCTGCTCTTCAGCCAGGGCCGGCGGGCCGGGGCCGGGGCTGGGGCCGGCAGCCTCGGCGCTGCCCAGCGGGCCGACTACTTCGCCATGGAGCTGTTGGACGGCTACCTCTACCTCCTGCTGGACATGGGCTCCGGAGGCATCAAGCTGCGGGCGTCCAGCCGCAAGGTCAACGACGGCGAGTGGTGCCACGTGGACTTCCAGAGGGACGGGCGCAAAGGTCGGGAGCCCTCTGGCCCCTTCTCCCTCCCTGGCCGCTCCTGGTCCCGGCCCTGACATCCTCCCAGGCGTCTTCTGTCCTACAGTTTCCTGAACTCCTCCTGCGTTTCCCCCCACTGGCCTCCCTGCCCTGCACTGTCACTCCTGTCCTGGGGGGGGGGGGCGTGGTGGAGACCTGGGGTCACACCTCCGCCCTTTCACTTACTGTGTGGGTAACGTTAGGCCCATCACTCAACCCCTGAAGCCTCAGTTTCCTCATCTACGAAAGGCGTCCCTGCATCGGGGTCATCGAGAGGGGAAAATGAGAGGGCACTGTAAAGGCCTTAGCACAGGGTCCCCCACAGAGTGAATATCTCACTCCCCTAAAAAAACTATTCCCAGCCGTGCCTGCCTCTGTCTATATCCATCCGACTTTCTTTTATTAATTCGCTTTAGAAATATGTACTGAGCACAGCAGCAGCTGCTATGCTGGGCGCTGTCCAAGGTGCTGGAGCAGAGGGCGCATGAGCTAAAGTCTTTGCTGTCACAGAGCTGTTCTGGGGGGTCAGGGGGGTGGGGGGAGCTGACGGTGGCCCCAGTGAGGACCCAGCACAGTGAAGCAGCAGAGCAGAGAGTGCTGAGGGCAGGCAGGTGCTGTCTGGAACCTCCGGCTGCTTTGAGCCACCCTCTCCTCCACTCGTCCCTCAGTCCCCCTTGCCCACCCTCTTCTTGTCTTCGGCCTAATTCATCTTGTCGAACGTGAGAGAATTATCTGGGAAAGAGAGCTGATGTTCGTGAGAGCGGACATATTATCCAGTGTAAGCTCCCATTCGCTCCAGCTAAGGTGTCGCGCTCCCCGCTGTCACCGCGCTGGGCTGTGCGTCTCCGTGAAGTGACGGGGCTGCCATGGCTCCCAGAAGTGTCTGCTTTTCATGGGCTGTTAGCTGTGTCTGCCTCTCCCTTCCTCGGGGCAAGGCTGCCTTCCCCGGGCTTCATGGTCAGTGGGCCCACCCCCTTGTTTTGTCTCACGAGGCCCCATGGGGTCTCCCCGGCTCCTGGTGTCCACACAGGTGGGCAGTAGCCCTTGAGGTTGGAAAGCTGCCTGGACTCCCGGCCTCCTGCTTGCCTTGGCCTCCAGGAAGTGGTCTCCGTGGCCTCACACAGAACTCAGAGCCCACCCACGCGGTCTGGCTGGCCCCGGGGCCACTGCCTTGACCAGCTCTGGCCATGCTCAGTGGCCCACGTCCATCCCTGCACACAGCACGCATGCTTGAGCGGTCATTCCAGCAAAGCCCTCTGACCTTCCCCTGGTTTCAGAAAAATTGTAAATTATACGTAACCTAAAAGTTGCCATTTTAAGTGTACAGTTTAGTGGCGTTGGGTGCATTCCCATCACTGTCACCACCACCCCATCCATCTGCAGACCGCTTTCCTTTTCCCAAACTTAACGTCCGTCCCCATTAAGCAGTAACTCCTCCCCACCCCCCCGGGCCCCTGGCAGCTGGCATTCTGCTTTCTGCCCCTATGAATGTGACTACTCCAGGGGCTCCTACAGCTGGAATATGCAGCCCTTGTCCCTTTGGGTCTGCCTCGTGTCACTCAGCAGACTAGTTTCAAGGTTCCTCCACGCTGTAGCGTGTGGCATCATTTCTTCTTACGGCGGAATGATATTCCATTGCATGTTACATGTCACACCTGTTGATGAAGGTTTGGGTCATTCCCTTTCCATGTTTAGGGCGACCTGGGGGCCAGGCCTATACTCGGTTTAATTTCCTCTTGCTCGGTGGCCGCTTTGACGCTCCTACCTGAGCCGAATCTCCCCTAGGATAACCGGTCTCCCTTCCAAAGCACTTACAATTCAGAAGCTCCACACCGGCGCCCTCTCCTGGCTGCCAGCTGGCCTTGCAGGCCCCAGGAGCTGACCTGCCGGACCATCTTGTCCCCCACCAGGTGCTCCCCTGCCGGCCCATCTTGTCCCCCAGCCACAGAAGGGCTCCCGGCTGGGGTGGAGGAGGCTGCCCTGGGGGGGCGGGGGTACTTTGGCTCTGCGCCTCCCCTGCCGTGGTGCTTCAGGCACGTTCCCAGTTTCTCTGAGGCCTGCCTGCCATTTCCAAGTGGGGTCGTGAGGACCACCTTCACGGGGGACTGTGAGACTAAGTGATATAACATGTAAAGTGCTAAGGGCCTGGCATGTGGTCACAAACGCTCAGTAGATGTTAGTGGGGGAACCTTAGATGCAAGCCTTTCAGCCTCCTCAGGGGTCTGTGCCTCTAGTTCCTGGTTTAAGGGACTGGGGGGGGGCGGGGGGAATGACCCGTGAATGATCCAGCCCTTTTGGGGTGTGTCCACCTCCAGTGCATCTTCCAAAGACCCGCTCAGGTGGGGAGGGAGGAGTCTGGACCTCACACTGCAGCTGGGCTGGGGGGGACCTTTGTCAGGCAGTGTCTGAGCAGGCGAGCGAGGCTCAGCTTCCCCCCAGGGCTGCTGCAGGGGTGGGTGGGAGGCCCGGCTGCCAGGCCGTCACCCTCTCTGGCCTGTGGCACCTCTCCGTCCCGGCTGCCCCGCTGAGGCTCACTGTTTGGTGACCCCTAGGCTCCATCTCGGTGAACAGCCGCAGCACCCCGTTCCTGGCCACGGGGGAGAGTGAGATTCTGGACCTGGAGAGCGAGCTGTACCTGGGCGGTCTCCCTGAGGG